TGTGTACATTAACGAGGGAGGATAACAGAGGGATTGGAAAGATTCCAGAGGATGAGCAGCTTCATGTCTTACCTCTTTATAAAGCTTCCAACACTGATGAATTTGGAAGTGAGGAAGGTCAACAAGAAAAAATAAAGTCAGGGGCTATCCAAGTTCTCAGTGTTTTCCGCCGCCAGGTGCGCATGCTTGCAGAGCCTGCTAAATCTTGCAGACAAAAAAAGCTGGATGCTAAGAAAGCAGCTGCCAACAAGAATGCCATGCTGGAAAGCTCCAATGATAAAGGAGAGAAGGCCAAATTAAAAGCTGGCACTTTTGAGAATTCTACTCAGAGCAATCCAATGGCAGGTAGGGTAACAAATTATTTTCACTTCATAGGTATCCCTTGATTTCTCTGAACTGAGCAGTTTCTGTCATATTTCAGGCTTGCTTCCAGAACAAAATGAGGTGTGCATCAGAAGTTAGTGAGGGTGCTCTATGCCTATACAGCTTACCAGGGCTGTATAGGTTGGACAGGTTTTACCATTAGAAAAACATGAAATGTATTCTAAAAAAATAAATAAAATATTGCATCTTTATTGATTTATGTAGATATATAACTTTTCATTAATGGTACAGTGTAGGTTGTCAAATGTGTCTTTGTGGGGGAAAGCGTTAAATATGTTTTTTTCTTTGTAGCAACATATTGTTGGAACACTAAATTGAACACCAAAAGACCCACAAATAATGATTTTACAAAAGGTGACGCAATGGATTTTGTTTTCCAGGACTTATTCCAGGTGCTGTAGGAGCAACCCGTCAGTCATGTCAGCCACAACACCCCCTAGGGGTCCATCAGCAGCAGCAACACCACCAGAGCATTCTCCCTCCTTATCCTGGCACAACAAATGCTGCTTTCTCCAGGTTTCCCAACCATAATGGGTCTTTTCCAAGCACTTCAAAGCCAGGCAGTATATATCCCCATCAGCCATCATCTTCCACCCCTTATCCTTCCCCACTCCATGCATCAAACTCATACATGAATGCATCCAATCGTCCATACCTAGGTTATCAATGTAATGGAGGAATTCCCTTTGACAACTACAATCCATATTATCCCCCAAACCCAAAGCACTTAGAAATGTATCGACAACAACGGCCGACACTTTACTCAGAGCAGCAGTATGGTATACGGCGTTATGAGGTCAATTACCCACCAAGATATGGTGAGCCAGGCTTACAGGTCAATGGTTATAATGCCAGCAGCATTAGACCAGTTCCTCCCATGCGACCTTATGGACCTTATACTCCTAACAGCGTCTCAGATCCCCGGTTTATGGACCCCCTCTCAAGAGCATCCTCAGCCCATGCAGGCGTAGATTACAAAACTGCTATGAGCAAAGGCAATCGGTTTGGAGAATGCCCAAATCCATATCTGCCCCAGAACCCTCAAATGCTGTCCCCAGGCCAAGATCCTTTCCATTTGCAAATCAAAGCAGAGATGGGTATGCCTGGCCCACAAATGCTTTCTGCTCAGTCTGGCAGTATGTGTTTAAACCCTGAAATACAGTCAGGGTTAAGGTTGCCAAATGGAAGCCTAATGGGTTCCAGTATCAAGCTGGAACCGGGAACACCACAGACACCCACCACGCCGCAAAAGCCAGAGCTGTGGTCAGACAACGAGCACAATTTCTTAGACCCTGATATTGGTGGAGTGGCTGTGGCACCTAGCCATGGCTCTGTCCTTATTGAGTGTGCAAAACGGGAGCTCCATGCGACAACGCCCCTTAAAAATCCAGATCGCACCCACCCAACCCGTATTTCCTTAGTGTTCTACCAGCACAAAAATTTGAATGAAGCCAAGCATGGTTTGGCACTGTGGGAAGCAAAGATGGCAGAAAAGGCTAGAGAGAAAGAAGAAGAAGCAGAGAGGAATGGCGGTGAGGGGACTCCTAGCAAGACCAGCAAAAAGGGGCCTAAACGTGAGCATCTAGAGTCATCAGAGACCACAGGGGAGCCTCCTTACAAACGTTATATCAAGGCACTCATGGAGGGATCTTTGTCATGCACAACAAACACGTATGTCAGTACATCTCCATACGCCTTCACCAAGGTTACAGGGCCTTACAGCCAGCTTGCGTAGAAAACACTCATTAAGAAGACCCTTGAAGGTGCTACGACAAACAAGACCACAGGCACCAATGCCCTCCCATCACCCTTTTGTTGTAAAAGGAACCTGTGATTAGATGAGCTACAAATCACCTTTCACCTCTTTAACAATCAAGCTTTACCCGTTTACCCTACAAAGGTTGTATTTATTCTTCTTTGGTAACTTTTGCAAGATACAAACTCTCTGGTGCTTTTACTCTGATACACACGGATCTATTTTAGCTGTAAAGAGTGATTTTTGGTGGTTTTTATTTTTCTTTCAAAGTTTTTTGGAGATGTAATCTTGGCATAAAACACTGACTTTTTGTAAATGACAACATTCACGGTGCTAAAAAATTATGCTTATTACCTTTTATTTGAATTCAAATGCCTTTACACTAACTGCACAGATAAATGTCAGCGGGACACCGGAAATATCATGCCAATATACAAAATGCTTTTCGAAAAGCCAGTGTTTTTTAAAAACACATTTGGTAATGATAGTTGAAGCTGAAAAATGTTTTGGTAGTACCTTTAAATTATAAGATCTGGTAAAAGCATATGTCTGCATTGACAGCATGTCATTTCTAAGCAACACATTGTGACATTCATGAATTTGTAAGGACTTGGGGGTTGTATGAACAATCCATAAAGGTGTCCATGCAAAAGTTTTAACAGTTTTAACAAGTTTTATCAATTGCTGGTGCTTCTTTCACTTTCCTATGTCATTTTTACTGTAAATTGAGCCATTCTTTTATGGTGCATTTTCGAAAGAAAAAAAAAAACAGAGAGAAAGATCTCAGTTGTTCTGGTTCTTTTTCCAGGGTTCCTTTGTTTATCAATTATTTTTTTTAAACGTTCCTTACAACAGGTTAATTGAACACACCTGGTGATTGTGAATATTACATGTAGATTTTTCTGTGGTGCTTAGTAAATGTGCTTTTTAAACACTGAGAAACATGATACTGGGTAAGCTCAGTGTCAGTTTCAGAGGGCAGCTGGCTTGCTGTGTGGTCTTTACTTATTGTAATCTAACTGTAAGATAAACAGGTGAGATTTGTACAGTAAATTAATATTCCTTTTGGAATTCCTGTTAGAGATTTTTTGTTGCAAAGAATGCTAACAGCCTGTTTCACTGTATTTCTTTGGGTTTCAAATGAATCTATTCATAAGGTGCTACTCAACCTACTAGAAACATAAAATGTGAGACTCTTTGGGAAGTGAGAAGGCTTTTAAATAGTGTACAGTACAAACCTGTCATATACCTCAAACATTTGGCAATAGGATTATAACGTCTTTTTCTTTCTTTATTCGTTTATTATTTTCAAAATGTTGATCACACTTAAAATTCAGGCCACCAAAAGGCATAAAAGTTCATTTCTTACTTTCTTATGAATCTGCAAGAAAGTATTACTTGAACTTGAATCTTTAATATTACTGCAAAAATCAGGGACATTTTCAACTAATTTTGTGTACATCTGCATTGCCTGTATTAATGTGGTTGTTTTTTTCATATTCAGGGACTTGCCATTGCATCCTGAATCCCAATATGGTTCTTGTTTGTTATATTTCACACAAAATTATTTTGTGTGGAAAAATATACTTTCCTGCAGTTTTGTACGTATATTTTAGCAAGGAGAATGGAGGTAATAGTAATCTGAACATATATGCACTGAGCTGACTAAAGGGAACGATATTGACTTTAAAAGAAAACAAAAAAATTAAAAGCAATTTTTGCTTATGTTACGAAGCAAGACCAGAGCAGTGATTAAAATAGTTGCACATCTTTGTGCCTGTGTATACATTTATTTATAACCACTAAGCAACTGTACAATGACTTCTTCCCAATCTATTTGATTTAATTAATGTAATTAAATTAATGACAGTCATGCTAAAGCAACAACTCACCCCACTTTTCAATATTCATTTTCTTAAAGCACTTCATTTCTTTTTCAGGAAAAAAAATGTAATGCAGAATTTCAAAACGTTTTATTTAAACATATTGTTTATGTGTTAAAAAAAAATAAATTATGTCACAATGTACATACCAAGAATTTGTATTTCAGGAGTATAACTCATTCTTCAATGTTCATGTTGGTTCTTTTTGTTTGTCAATTCTACCATAGCTCGTCCTTTGAGACCCTTTCCCAAGTTAAAATGATTTTGGTTAGATAATCCAGAAAGTTTTTTGTAAATATTACACTCACTGTCGCTGCAATGGTTACAGTTATAGTATCACCATAGTTCAGTCAGTAGTTCTAGTTTTTTTTTTAAATCTGTTCTGTAAAAATAATCATATAGAAATGTTAAATTTCATTGTACAGTACCCAGCTACAGTAGCAGGTCGTTGTTGAGAGAGCCAAGGTGTAGTAAGAAATAGCGGGTTAAAAAGCATAGCCATACTTGAAGATGCTTCAGAGTGATTCTGAGTGAGTCAACATTACTTGAATGATTGTCTGGGCTTAGCTAGTATGCTCATCTCAAAGGTTAAGCCAGCAGTTCATACACACTTGGTCTTTTTGCAGTTAGACACTAAAAGGTATAAAAAAAAAAGTGCAACTTTTTGCCTGTAATTTTACTTTTTTAAAGCTTCCCTAGTTCTCTTGAAGTTTGGTATGCTACAAAAGAAAAAAGAAAATCAAATTGAGGATGGGTATTAATACTGTAAGTATTGTAATGTACTGAATGCAGTTTATTTGAAAGCTGTTTATTATATCATTCCTGATGTTGCTGATATGTGGGTGTTTTTTTAAATAAAAATTATATTTATTTAAAGCACTTTTATTTGTTACTTCCAAGTTAATCACAATATCTAAATTCTGTGTTTTATCCACAAGTTGAAATGTACGATGTGAACTTATAAAACACACATAATGTTTAAGATTTTCCTTTTAATTTATCCAAACGTTTACTTGTTACATATAAAGTGTGTGGTTCTGTATCTGAAAGAACAATTACATTTGTACAGGAAATTAGAGGACTATATAAATATAAACTAGACATGGCCACAACAGTCCTGGAATACAAATACAGCATGATTCACAATCATAAAAAATGAGTCCTTTTTCCCCCATGACAAATGATAATTGGCATACTAGCAAAAAATTCAAACACGTGTCAATTGTGGCACCATAAATCAGACCCGACTTCAAGTCTGGTACTTTAGCACAATTCTTCGCTTGGTGTGTTTCTTTTATTCAACAAATAACAGAGTGTCGATGGCTCTCTTTAAAATGGCTCCATACAAAATAAGAATGCAGAAGAATCCCTCATAAGGTGTTCAGACGTTTTGACTGTATCCATGCTGTTTTGGGAGAGTCAGACAAAATGCCACTTTTCCACTGTGCAAGAAGAGGTTTAGAATGGCAAAGAATTATTTTAAATGTATTAAAATGTATCTCTTTTATTTTTGTAATTGAACAATTGTTGCAAAGCAATTTCCCTGTGTGGAAATCCAAGTATGATTCTTGGAATACGTTCTTCTCTCTCACTTTTATTTATTTATCGATTAATTTATGTACTTAATAAATATATTAATAAGTCTTTTTTTTTTTTAAAACTTACCCTCTGGAGACACAGGATGTGCGCTGCCAAATGCAGGAGCCTGGAGAATGGAAATATAAAAATAAACCTACCACACTAACTCATCGTGTAGCTTTATATATTACTGCTGCAGTGGCTACCAATAGTGTGAAACAAGAGCTAGTAAAGTTCTTACCGACTGAACTACTTCTCTGGCCTTATCAGTGGTACATCTCCAAGGGCTATCACAACATAACGTGTTTTTGCTGAAGAAAAAAGCAAAGAGTAGAGCTCATTATACTTTCATAGCCAGTTACACCTTTACATCATATGCAAACACATAAAGCAGGAGTTTTGTCTTCAACTAATTTACCAGTCAATTCCTCCAGTATTTTTTTGCTTCTGTACTAGTGCCCTCCAGTGCTCGTGGGTGGACTTAATGATCTCAACTGCAAAGTCCTATCAACAGAGATAGAGACTAGTTTGTTTTTTGCTGCCTCTTTCGCTAACTGCATGGACTGCAACTAGTAGCAGACTGTCATGTCATATCATTGTTACAAAGGTAGTAAGTACCTTGTCTTTGAACTCCCCATTGAATCCAAATTTGTTTTCAGGCTTTCCATCCGGCACCTTATATTTCCTAAACCACTCAACAGTGGCCTCTAAATGACCGGGTCGGTTCTTGCGGACATCCTCTATATCTGCAGAAAACGCATTCAATAACATGAATTTGGGAACTAAATTGTGCAGCAAATATTCAGTGAGAAATTTTACAGTTAGCAGTTTCTAAGATTATAATTTATGACAGAATGTAGCTATACAACACTAATACAACAACAGGATTCAAGTTAAAATGAATGCAGGGTTAAAAATATTTAGAACATGCTGTATGAGGTTAAGAAATGCATTAAACATGTTAGATAGGGTACAGTGTGTTTTGGAAAGACACGTTGAATATAAACAACAATGTTTACAGCAAAATCTCCACAGGGTACAGACTTTGCCAAGTGTTTTAACTACAGAGTGCAAGTCTGCATTTCTCCCATGATGTCTGTGTTGGATAAACAATCAACTGAATCTGAAATGGGCAGGTACATTAGTATCTCACTCCTGGTACGTGGGCAAATGCAAATCTGACAAGTAATGCATACTGGCTGCATAGCTAACCTTAAACAGCTCTACATGTGCTTAATCTTCTTGTATAGAATAAGTAGATGAAAATGAAATGGTATTTTTGAATCAGGGTAGAGAGCAGATCACTTTAACAATCATTTTGAAACTGCCTTAATCTTTCTCCTGCCATGAAACAGTAAAATAATTACTAATAATCACTAACGTATGTTAAATTAATTACATGTTACCAGTTCTTGACTTTCGTTAGTTTAAAACACTCACTATTTAGATTTTTGGCATCAGGGTCTTCAGCATTGATAGCTATGACCTTCCAGTCCATTTCTCCTTCATCAATCATGGCCAAGATGCCAAGCACTTTTACTTGGATAACCTGACCAGTAGAGCACACCTGAAGAACCAAACAACACATAATAAATCATCAATTAATAAAAAGCAATACTACATAAATTGCACATGTATATACACTCACTGACCTAATCATTAGGTGCACCTGTTCACCTAACTGTTAACACAAATATCTAAGACTCATGATTCATTAGATATGACTTGATAGTAATCCTATAAAGGGGTACCTAATAGAATGTCTCTAATAAAATCAATGTACAGTTTTAAGCTGTATTACCTGGGTGCCTATGTCACAAACATCAATGGGGTCATTGTCACCACAACAATTAGTTTCTTTGTCTTTCTGGCCCGGGTCTTCCCACGTCTTCAGTTCAAGCATGTAAGAAAACAATCATGCAGGTATTTGTAAAACATAATTATTGAAATATATTTAAATACAACAAAATGAACTGCAGTACTGTTATTTTGAAACAGATATGATGAAAATGAAGAAGAAGGCGGCTTAATGCATCTCATACTGTGCTTTTCCTCACCTGTGGAAGTGCCCCATAATTCCAAATGTAACCTTTATGGGGAAATATGTTGGCAACATATCGGAGCTTTCCTTTCTTTTCATCTTGCTTGATCGGATTCAGCGGTTCCTTTATCGCAATCTGGGAATTGAAGCAATTATGAAGGTGTGTGTTTTTATGTGCGTGTTTGTTGTTTTTCCACTGTTGAAGCGCAGCTGAAGAAATGAGGTAAATAACTTTCACTTCTTAAATGTCAGGAACTCCCCAAACTTCACTTTCATGCTTAGCTAGCTAGCTAAATGAAAACAGCTTCAGGGCACTGCTATTCTAACTTCAGAAGTGGGAGGCAACTCATTCCATTTAAAATGCGGTATAAAGTTCCTTGTGGTGAGTTACATTTAGTTTTGTAAGTCAGCTACAACTCAAAAAGCCACATCAAATGCTTATCTAAAGATAAATAAAGTATCTTCCAGTTGTCGTTATGCTATCTGACTTAAAAACAAAACCACGACTACAATTTCTTAAAAACAGATGACTGTGCATCATAACCTTTTTTCCAGTGCAACAGCAGTTGTCATAGGGTATAGTAGAGTGTAATGTGTGATACCTTACCTGTAGCATGTATGTACATGACTGTACTTTATCTATTCTTACCTCCATTTTAGCATTTGACCATCTTGGTACCTCCACTACCATGTTGTAGAGCACCTGAGAGAAACCAAGAAAGCCAAATACATTATCCTGATTGTTTTAGATGGTAGAAGTGACCTGAAACACTTAATCAAACTTTACCTCACTCTCACTCTTCTTGGACTTTTTAGCAGGTACATCATTTTCCTTAAGAAAATAAAATAAATAAAAATGGTTAGAATATTAGATTCGAGTGAAAACAAACCTTTGCTATCTAACCCTTACCTGTTCTGTCTCTGCTATTAGTGGAATATCGTGGAATGGCGAAATGTATTTCCCATCTGAGGTTTCTAAAAAACAACAAAAAGAAAAAACATAAATTAAAACTTTAGCAAAGTACTTCTGTGCATAAACATTTTACTCTTAACACATATTTTACAATTGAATTCCAGATGTCTGTTTAGGGTAGGGAACAAAAACTTAAATCTTGTTATTTTTGAGGTGAATGGATATCTATATCTTGACACTTTCCACACAAACATCATAAGAGATGTCACAACAGTTTTTCTTAAAAAGACTAATCGGCATAAAATACAAAGAAAAAAAATCATAATAATGACAATGATGTCATAGTTCATATTTCAAAGAAACTGGGGTGCTACTTGTTCCTGGTGTTTAAAATCATAAGTATTACTCATATCACTCAGGCAGGGACTGTTTACTTGAGCTTTTGAAGTGGGGGTTGTATGAGGTTTTGATGAGTCAGTGTTACCTGCAGTTGACGGCAATAAGCACAACCTCAAGCAAAAAGGAGAACTGACTGGCACAGAAATTGCCACTGCTTTAGCTCCCATTAGGAAGCTCTTCACCACAAGGAAGTGAAACTTTAACGTCCCACCAGATTCCATTGACCAAAAACAGTTATGTTACCTCCCAAAAACATAAGGTCTTAATTAACTGCCGCAAACAGTCACACCAAGTAGACTAGCAACCCCTGTTTTGTCCTTGTGTCCACAAATCAACAGACTTTGGTGTATGTTGTCACATGCAACAGAACAGAAGACAAATATATATACGGTCAAGCCTTTAAGCTATTACTGGTGCAGGAAAACAAAGCTTCAAGGGACGAGGTTACACTCAGACAGTGCACCGAGGACAGACACAAACCCTGCAAACACTGCTTTACAGAAGAACAGCTTTACAAAACACAGCATCAAACTATAACAGTATTAATGACACTGTCGGCTAATATCTTTTGAAAACATATTTTAATTGATATACTGCCCAGTCATAGGTATACTATTACTATACTTTCTCAATGCCAATGGAGGAAACTAGAAAGTGAGGTAAAATTAAAAGCTTTTCAGTTTCAGATAGTTTTGCAGGGTTCAATAAATGTGCAAATACTTTTGATGTTAATCTATTCATTGATCATTATTATCATTATTATTATTATTATTGTTATTATTATTATTATGCAGGTGGAAAAGAAATTAATTGAAACTGCTCAGTCTTCTGACAAAGTTTCATCATGAGTCTTATTATTTGACTAAACAATAATAAATTATCTACATAAATCACAGGCATCAGTACAGCCCTTCTATTGTGGCTAAAGCTTTAAGAAGTTCCTGTATTACTGACAGTAACAGGAAAAGAACAATTGCCTTTCTAATGCACAATACCAAAGCGATGTTCAATCCCAAACACACTCTCAGGTGTACGTTTTGCAGTGCATTTCCATGCATGCAGCCCACACGTTAGTGCACTGCAGTGTGCATGTTGTTGCTGCATGTCTGCAGCCTTCTGCTTGAAACAAGATGAATCAAATATTACAGCATTTGCTTTAAAATTTAAAAGTTCCCTTTTTTTAAAGCAATTATTATTGTGAAAAGCAAAAATGCATTCATTTCCAGTCCAGTTTCCTCATTACTACCATGTGCACACTATAACTTGAATATTCATGTTTATTGATACTTGCATTTTCATTTAAAAAGTGGCACTTTTACATTTTCTGGTAATTTACTGATGCAGCAGTAAAGCGCTAACAGTGAGGTCATACAACACATTTTAATACTCCAAGAAAACAGTGTCTTGTACTGTGAACAAACGGGACTGTCCCAAATCCTCACACTCTCCTGGCTTGGGCTTAGTGCCATTCACAATCTGGACCAGAATAGTTTATTTTAGTTTCTCAGCTTCTCTCCATCTTATCACAATAATGTTCACGATTTTACAGATACTGTGGTAAGCTAAATGTATTTGTTTAATTAAGTTAGGCTTTTGTCACTGAGGAAGCACTGGAGTTCCCTGCTCAAGTGTAGACTGTGATCACACAGCACCACATCCGAGTTCAACCCCAGTGCGGTTTTGGGGTCAAGCATGGACCTTTGCTGTGCCTGAATAAAGCTTTACATCTGGTTTCATCCCTGTTGTTACGTTTTGATAAAGAAAATTCATGATCTACAACACGGTTTGACTTGATATGATGTGTCTTGATGATAGAAATGCATCCAATTTTGGTTTTGCTTGAGGTTTTGCATGACTGGCATCCACGTGGCTAACAAACAGGAAGTACAACCCACGAGGAACACGCACCTCTTCCTCGTTTCTCCTTATGCGTACTTTCAAAACACGTGACAACGACGGCTAGCGTTAGCGGGATTTTGGCACTAAAAGCAAAGCCGTAAAAGAGCCGCTTGGCCAGGAAACATAACTCAAAGGTCAAGCGTTTACCTTGACCTGCATGTCGACCACAACACGGTCAGACACCAACCTTTGTGACTGTGCTAACCAGCTGCAGCATTCAATGCAAAAAACAGGCATGGTTCCTTTCACAATGGCGGAAATTAACTTACTAAAATAAAGCCGGTAGTCGGGAGAGTTCTGGTGTCCTCTCTGCTCCGTTTGATAGTGCATCGTTTTTCTGAAATAATACTGGTGCGAAACAGCTGCTGCTTGTGCAATAACTTTGCGGCTAGAGGCGGAAAATGTGCCGAAAACTGTCACCAAACACCGGACCGATGAGCGTAACATCAGTGCTCTCATTATACACTTCTTACTTCCCTCGTCTTAGTTCCTGCTTCCCGTCCTCCAGCTTCTGTTTCAACAGCCTCGGCGTGAAACCACGGGCTTCCGGTCAGCGCGTTTCAAAATAAAACACCCCAGACGTAGTTTTGTGTGACGCAGTTTCTACATGAAGGTGCGAATGTACTGTATATTTTATTTATTTTTCCCATATTCAGACCAGCACTCTTAAACATATATAGGCAGTGGCCCATATTTGACCTGCGTTTAGTCTGTTTTATTCAAACAATCTCCAAAGTGTAGAAGCGTTTTTTTCTTTAACACGATCTTCTTGTTTGTTTGTTTGTTTGTTTGTTTGTTTTGTTTTTTATTTGGTATAATAGTGTAGTGTCACGTATAAGTAGCCTGGTCTCATGCCTCAAATCTGTTCAGTCATTCGTCTGTTACCAACACATTGGTTTTATTTTATTAATAAATCATATTTTAACCGGAAGTAATTATTTCTAACTTAATTTTACAATTAGTGTAGCAGCCACAGAAAGGATTGTAATTTTTACTGCCCCCTAGCTGTCGTTCAGGTCTTTCTACTTTTTTCTTTGTTCTTTCTGTCCCTTTTCTCCACCTTCCTGCCTGTCAGCTTTTAATTGTTATATTACACACGTACTGAGTATTAATAGAAATAATAATCATGGAAATAAGCAAATTAAACAGATCAAATTAAAAGGAAAATACCAACTAGATGTGCCTATAGAGAATTTATAGAGCTCATCTTGGATAAGCATTCTTAAGGAAGGGAAACTGGGAGAAAAGGCTGAGATATTTGAAATTACACAAAACTGGATGGAAAGTCAGTGGCAATGGGTCTTATGGAGGGATGAATCCAAATGTGAAATATTTGCAGGGCTCGCAAAATTTCAAAATCCCTGGTAGCCCTTCGGGCAGGGACTCTTCAGTTTTTGGTAGCCCAAAATAAATGTAAGTAGCCCGAATAAAAAAGAAAGCAATTTTTTGATTGATGTTTTGTTTCCTGTTTTGTTTCCTTTACAATATTATATATTAAAGTATAATATTGTAAAGGAAACAAAACATTAATCAAAAAATTGTTGAAAAACAAATTACAACATTGTATAAAAAATTACAATCATCAACTCAAATACTTGGTTCTAATTGAACAGAAATTTCTATGAACTTGTAAGAACTGTGTAGGACATGAATCAGTCTGTGTCAGATCCTGAATTTGAAATTTCCACTGAAGTCA